CCCCCACCCCAGCTGCCCAGCATTCTTAAACCCCACCCAAAACAGTAAATCCAACCGATCACATCACATCTTTAACAAACAATGCCCAATCACAGTTTTGGACAAACAAGAAACTCCCCCTGAGCGACTGCAGAGCCCCCTCCTCATTTTATTTCAACTCTCTACGAAGCTGACGGGGAAAGGAGAGAACCGGAGGAGAACGAAGGAGAACCGGAGGAGAACGAAGGAGACGTGTAAACGACAGACTGAACTCTAACCACGTTGGTTTTCTAGGTCGACAGTGACAGCTCCGACAAAATAAACTGTCTGCTGCAACTTCACATTTTCATGTTTTTTTCCACACCTATCTACAGAAACATTTAATCTCCAGCTTGCAGGATTCTTTAAGGCACAGTGATGTTGTAAATCCAATTAAGACTCCTCGTCCGATCTGTAGTGTACACAATACGAGTCAGTGTTTGTTTAAATCCACACCGAGGGCTTACCCTCTCCTGATTTACTGCTGCTACTGTTGCTGCTGCTGCCTCCTCCGCTGCTGCCTCCCTTCCCGTGCTTGACTCGGAACTTGCGCTCCTTCTGAAGATGAGGATGCGGCTGCGGCTGGGCTTGGATGATGTTGCTCTGAGGCTTGTCGTCCTGGCTGTCTTCAAGCTGTTCCTCGGCCTGGTGCTGCTGGCTGTAGGCCTGGATGGCGGCCTCCAGCTGCTCGTGAGCTTGCTGGATCACGTCTTTGTTGAGAGCCACGCGGGCCTCTCCCCCAGTGGGGAAATTGTCCTCGTTGCTGCCGAACTGCTGCTGCTCCTCCTGGGCGATGTTGGCCCTGTTCTGCTTGCACGCCATCTTGGCGTTGCTGAGGTCCGTGTAGGGAATCTGCTCCGGCTTCACCACGATGTTGTAGCCGGGCGGAGCCGACGGGGTGTTCCACGAGAACGGGTACCCGACGTAGTCCGCGGCGCCGTCTCCGCCCACCCCGCCTTCAGAGCCTGCCTCTGGCCCCGTCCCCCCCACCGAGCCCTCCGGGGCACCGTTGGCGCCCAGCAAGCCCAATTGGAACTCGTCATCCTGAGGCGGGCTCCGCCGGCGGCGAATGATGTCACAGATGGAACCTATTCCCAGATGGAGCATCTCCCAGACGTTGAGGGTGAGGCAGAGGACGGTGACGCCGTACATGATGCGCAGGAAGATGGTTTTCTCCGTGGGCCGCGACACGAAGCAGTCCACGCTGTGGGGGCAAGGTTTCCCAGAGCACACGAACACCGGTTTCACACGGAAACCGTACAGCAGATACTGGCCCGTAAGGAAGCCCGCCTCTAGAACCGTTCGGGTCACCAGCTGCAAAACGTAGACCCGCATCAGCCCTTCYTCTCGGATCCGCCTGCGCCCGTCGTGACGGATTTTAGGTCTGGGCGTCGGCTGCAGTGGATTCCGAGGCCTTTTCGGTGGTTCTATCTCTGGCACCTCGTAGATCATCGGATCGTCTTCCTGGTCCTCCTCGGTCTCCTCGATGCCTTTGTGTTGTCGYGCTCCGAAGCAGATTTTCCTGGGTTTCCTGTGCGTGTAGCTCCCCCCTCCCATCCTGACGGCGGCGGCTCCACTTCCTCCTTTCGCTTCGTCCAGTCGTGCGATCTTATTGACGGCGTAGCCCATGTAAATGAGAGAGGGCATGGCCACCAGGATGATCTGGAAGACCCAGAAACGGACGTGGGACAGAGGGGCGAAGGCATCGTAGCAGACGTTCTCGCAGCCGGGCTGGCCCGAGTTGCAGACGAACTTGCTCTGCTCGTCGTAGTAGATGGACTCCCCCCCGACGGCGGTGAGAACGATGCGGAAGACGATGAGCACGGTGAGCCACAGCTTCCCCACGAAGGTGGAGTGGTTGTGGATCTCCTCCAGCAGCCGTGTGAGGAAGCTCCAGCTCATGGTGTCACTGGACAGTGGGGCAGACAGTGTCCCTCTATCACTTGCTCACAGACTCTGAAAAACAAAAACAAAAAGGAGAAAAAAAYAGGTTTACATTTTGCATCTTGAAAGATCCGTCCAAACCTCTCGGGTGAAGACTTTAACGTTGCTCCTTGCAGCTCAGAGAGGTAGCTGTCGAGTCGGGACGTTTTAGGGAATTAGAAGACCAAACAGGCTGCAAAGAGGATATCAGCATTAAAGAAATACCATCAAGCTGCACTGAGGATGGGAAATAATCCAAGCAGGGAATTTACTGTCACACACACACACTCCTACACACATCCAGTCTAACAGCATCGCTTTCAGAAGAAATAAATCCTCTTAGCGAGCCTTCTTCTGTTTGAGSTGCAGTTTTCAGGATTGAGTTAACTTTACTTTTCGGGTTTGGAGGTAACTCTGGGTGTCTGAGTTTGGAAAAGGGACATGATGCTAATGTAGGTTAGCTCAGGGCTGCAGGCAGTACATGCACACACCAGCAGACTCAGCAGGTGGCTGGCCACAAACCGTTGGAGCGGGATTTCAGGCAGCAGACCCACATTAGCTCAGGCGGTGGAGCTGAAACCGAAAACCCCGCTGTCCCTCAGGGCAGCTTTGGGGAGGAATCTGACACCGCAGAGCTTTCCTCCCCAGGAAGGCACAATAACTCATAGAGACATCACAATAGGAGAATCCAACCAGCTTAGGATGGGCTTTAAAGGTGGCAGGATTCAAGCTGCAGAAAGAGAGGAAATCTCTCCGAAGGAGCTTCTAACTCCCTGCTCTGTGTCCCCCGCCGGAGCGGAGATATTTCGACGAGGCCCGGCGATAAAACACGAGCGGAGTAAATGATCTTTCTGCCCCTATAAGGACATGCCTCAGACACGGCAGGCTGATGTCAGGAATCCTCTCAAACACGAGAGCAAAACAATCTGAGCGGCTCGGCAGCCAGAGGAAGCTGWGAAACGTTCAGGAGCGCTCCGACTTTGAGCTCAAACGAAAGCTTTATAARAATAACTCATGACAGGTTTACTTGACAGGACAGTTTTACTGTTTTAGTTCTGAGAAATATCATCATTTTTCTACATATCAGCTAATTATTCCTTTATTTATGTTGTTTGTTGTCAGAGACAGATTTTTGTCCCAATAAGGGTCGTTCATAAACTCTGCTCTGGATTCTGGGTGATTTATTCCACCCGACAGATGATGAAATTTTGAATTTTTCAAATCACTACCTAATGAGGCCGCTGCAAAAACTGTCCATTTTACCAAGTTTTAAAATCTTATATCAGCCAAAAAGTCTTTTTCATCTTGTTTTGAGACTGATTTACTAAACAAGAACTGATTGTGTGAGAATAATAATCTTGTTTTCAGAATATGTAAGATTATTTGTCTGGTTAGTCTAAAAATTTGACTCAAATTAAGTCAAAAATTTCTGCCAGTGGAGTAAGAAATGTTTACTTGGTAAGATTCTTGAAAAAAGAAAATAATGAGTCAAATCAAGTATTTCAAGAATCTTACCAAGTAAAAATTTCTTACTCCACTGGCAGACATTTTTGACTTAATTTGAGTCAAATTTGCAGATTAACGAGACAAATAATCTTACATATTCTGAAAACAAGATGATTATTCTTACACAATCAGTTCTTGTTTAGTAAATCAGTCTCAAAACAAGATCAAAAAGACTTTTTGGCTGATATAAGGTTTTAAAACTTGGTTAGGTGGACATTTTGAGCGTCTCCCTGCAACATGTTCCTCATCCAAAAACCTGTATTATAAATAAACTGGATGCTGTCTGACAGGGTTATTATAGTTAACTAAAACTAACTAAATAACGAAAACTGAAATTGAAAAAAACATTTTAGTTAACTGAAATAAAAACTGTAATAAAATAAAAAAACAATAACTAACCAAAACTGTATAATCTTTTTACAAAACTAACTAAAACAAACTGAAATTATAAGTAGAATGTCTTTAGTTTTAGTTTTTGTCAGTTTTTTTTAATTGTGTAGTTTCACATTAGCTGTGTGCAGCTTACAGCACCTCATGGTCCAGAACAACACTTGTTTACAGTCTGCTGCTGCTCAGCATCGTCTGCCAAATGATGACAGCWAAAGTTGGGAGAAAATGGCAAAGTGTACTTTGAGATTTCTTTGAATATGATGCTAGAAAAAATAAAAGCAGGCAGGTGTCTTGTAGTGGAAACAGGTGATATAATCGGTGGAACACTTCTCAAGAGAAAAACTGCACAAATCAAGCTCACACAAGATGGCTAACTATGGCTATCTTGACATGCTAACTTCTCTCAGTAGCTCCCGTGAAAAACAAGCAGCAGGTAGCAGCAAGTTGGAGACAATTATTGTCTTTGTCCTAAAATAATCGCCCAAGATTTTAGTTGGTAAAATTGAGTTACGCAATTATTTTAAGAAGGTGTTGCCATAACCGACTGCTTTAACTAGTGACCAAATACAGCTGTTGGTTAGTGAACTCACAGGAACATCACAAGCTGGAGGATGCATCGGCAAATATGTTTATTTCAAACTATAAAAAACTAATACTAGAACCAATAAAAACTAAATTAAAACTAAGCTTTAAAAATGCAGTAATAACTAATAAAAAAACTAGCAAATCCACTAAATAAAACAAACTGAATCAAAAGAAAAAAGTCACAACGAAATAAAACTAAACTATAAAGAAAAATCCAAAACTATTATAACGTTGGTCTGAGATGCCTGAACCACCTCAGCTGGTCCTCTTTATCCAGTGGAACCATCTGAGGTGGTTCAGACACCCTGAATGCTCCCTCCTGTCTGCAGATAACAGCWGATATGACTTCTAGTTTTTTGTTTCAAATTAATTATATTAACTGTTTTAATTAGATAACCTGGTTTCTAAAGATAAAATAATAATATGAAAGACAAAACTATGTAATTTAGCTGTGAATTTATTTTTGCAGGGAGATTTAGAAAGTTGCACAAGGGGCACCATCTTGCCCAGGGCTCCACATTAGCTCGGTCCGGCCCTGGTCTGGACCTCCCTGCTCAAGCTGCTGAAACAAGCTGCAGATGATGGATGGAAGCATTCAACACAGGCTTAAATGCAAGTTTTTTTTTTGTTCCTCCCTGACCAGGAGGGATGTTCATTCTCTGTCTCACATCTGACTGTTTCATCCTCCTAATACCTCGGCTAAGTCTAGCGAAGCATTTTGTCTTTTCATCCGATTTCTGTCTGCAGGAGCTGCAGGGGCAGTTAGGGGTAAGGAGCTGACGCTGAGCATTAAAGCTACGAGGGTGAGTCAGACACACACACACACACACACACACACACACACACACACACACAC